TTTTACACACAGACCCTTTTACACACAGACACTTTTACACACAGACGCTTTTTACACACAGTCACTTTTACACACAGAAGCTTTTAAACACAGAAACTTTTACACACAGACCCTTTTACACACAGACGCTTTTACACACAGACGCTTTTACACACAGAAGCTTTTACACACAGAAGCTTTTACACACAGACGCTTTTACACACAGAAGCTTTTACACACAGAAGCTTTTACGCACGGAAGCTTTTACACACAGAGGCTTTTACACGCAGACTCCTTTACACACAGACGCTTTTACACACAGACGCTTTTACATACAGACCCTTTTACACACAGACCCTTTTACACACAGAAGCTTTTACACACAGAAACTTTTACACACACAAGCTTTACACACAAACATTTTCACACACAGAGACCGGACCCGTGAAATCGCTGACGTTCAACGTCCATTTCGTGCGAAAGGGCCACGATGAACAAAGTAAAATCACAATTTTTCCTCAGTTTTTGACGTCCAACGTCCATTTCGTTCGAAATGGTTGCCCGTGACACCTCAAAATCACAATTTTACCTCAGTTTTGACGTCCAACGTCCATTTCGTGCGAAAGGGTTGCGATGGACTAACTAGACGTCCATTTCGTGCGAAAAGGTTGCGTTTCGTGGCGCTCCGGCGGCACCGCCCCCGCCTTAAGAGAGAGATAGAAAGAAGAGCGAGAGGAGATGTGCAGATGTGAAGGTGTGAAGATGTAGATCTGCAGATGTGAGGGTGTGAAGATGTAGATCTGCAGATGTGAAGGTGTGAAGATGTAGATCAGCAGATGTGAGGGTGTGAAGATCTAGATCTGCAGATGTGAGGGTGTGAAGATGTAGATCTGCAGGTGTGAAGGTGTGAAGGTAGATGTGCAGATGTGAGGGTGTGAAGATGTAGATCAGCAGATGTGAAGGTGTGAAGATGTAGATCAGCAGATGTGAAGGTGTGAAGATGTAGATCTGCAGGTGTGAGGGTGTGAAGATGTAGATCAGCAGATGTGAGGGTGTGAAGATGTAGATCAGCAGATGTGAGGGTGTGAAGATCTAGATCTGCAGATGTGAGGGTGTGATGATGTAGATCTGCAGGCGTGAAGGTGTGAAGATGTAGATCTGCAGGTGTGAGGGTGTGAAGATGTAGATCTGCAGGTGTGAAGGTGTGAAGATGTAGATCTGCAGGTGTGAGGGTGTGAAGAGGTAGATCTGCAGATGTGAGGGTGTGAAGATGTAGATCTGCAGAGATCAGCAGGTGTGAAGGTGCGAAGAGAAGATGTAGATCTGCAGATGTGAAGGTGTGAAGATGTAGATCTGCAGATGTGAAGGTGTGAAGATGTAGATCTGCAGATGTGAAGGTGTGAAGATGTAGATCAGCAGATGTGAAGGTGTGAAGATGTAGATCAGCAGATGTGAGAGTGTGAAGATGTAGATCAGCAGATGTGAAGGTGTGAAGATGTAGTATAACGGCTGCTTTTTTACGAAGAACCCCTCGCAGGCGCTTTCGGGAAAAATGAGGAAGTCACGCAGAATTGGTGCGTTTTCGATGTTGTCAACTTTGAAAAATGAAGAATTCTTGCAGAATAGCTAGGTTTTCAAGCTTGCAGATAGACAGACAGACAGACTGATAGATAGATAGATTAGATTAGATTAGATTAGGTTAGGTTAGGTTAGATTAGATAGATAAGATAGATAGATTAGATTAGATTAGATAGATAGATAGATAGATAGATAGATAGATAGATAGAGAGAGAGAGAGAGATAGAGATAGAGACAGAGATGGAGATAGAGATAGAGAAAGAGATAGATAGATAGATAGCTGGATAGATAGATAGATAGATAGATAGATAGATAGATAGATAGATAGATAGATAGATAGATAGATAGATAGATAGATAGATAGATAGATAGAGAGATAGAAAGATAGAAAGATAGATAGATAGATAGAGATAGAGATAGAGATAGATAGATATAGATAGATATAGATAGATATAAATAGATAGATAAATAGATATACATAGAAATAGATAGATAGATAGATAGCTAGATAGCTAGTCAGATAGATAGATAGATAGATAGATAAATAAAGAGAGAGATAGATAGATAGTAAGATAGATGGATGGATGGATGGATGGATGAGATAGATAGAACGATAGATAGACAGATAGATAGAGAGATAGATAGCTAGATAGCTAGATAGATAGATAGATAGACAGACAGAAAGCTAGATAGCTAGATAGCTATATAGATAGATAGGTAGATAGACAGACAGATAGATAGATAGGTAGATAGATAGATAGATAGATAAATATATACTTAGATACATATATACTTAGATACATATATACATAGATAGATCGGTAGGTAGGTAGGTAGGTAGGTAGGTAGGTAGGTAGATAATCAGAGAAAGAGAGAGAGAGAGAGAGAGAGAGAAAGGGAGCAGACCTCAACAACCTTTCGGCCCATCAGTGGCTTTGCTCTGCCATCCGGGATTCACAACAACCAACCTCTCCTATAGGTTTACTAATACTAATACTAATACTAATACAAATACTAATGCTAATACTAGTACTAGTACTAATACTAATACTAGTACCAATACTAATGCTAATACTAATACTACGGCTCATGCTACTACTACTACTGCTACTACTGCTGCTGCTACTACTACTACTACTGCTGCTTCTACTACTACTACTACTACTACTATTAATTACTACTAGTACTACCACTACTACTACTACTACTACTACTACCACGACTACTACTACTACTACTACCACTACTACCACTACTACCACTACTACCACTACTACCACTACTACCACTACTACCACTATTACCACTACTACCACTACTACCACTACTACCACTACTACCACTACTACCACTACTACCACTACTACCACTACTACCACTAGCACCACTACTACCACTACTACCACTATCACCACTACTACCGCTACTACCACTACCACCACTACTACCACTACTACCACTACTACCACCACTACATTTCACAAATACATTACACTACACTACACTACAGGACAGGACAGTACAGCACACTACAGTACACTACACGACACGACAGGACTGGACACGACACGACAAGACACTACACTACCTCACACACACACAGGCTACACTAGACTACACTACACTTTACTACACTAGAGTACACAACACGACAGTACACTACACTACACTACTTTACAACTACAGCTACAGCTGCATTAATTACACAACTTTACAACTACAACTACACTAACTACACAACACAGGACAACTAAAACTCCACTACATTCTACAACTACAACTGCGCTACACCACACTACATCCAGCAATTGTGGATGAGGTGACCACTCGAACAACACAACTCCAACCACCTTTCGGTCTATCAGTGGATTCGCTCTGCCATCCGTGATTCACAGCAACCAACCTCTCCTATAGGTTTCCTATTTTTGAAACTTCCGCCGCCGCTTTGCGCGGCACTACTGGTATAGTTGGAACAACGGATTCTTGTGCGGTTTGGACACATGGCTTGCACGAGGTGTTGCCACTGGCTGGCCCTCCAGCAGTTCAGACCCTTTCCGTGGGAGCCCGAACCAGACCGGACCGGCGTCGCCTTTGGACGTTAGCGCCACCAATTTTTGGGCCATCTAAGGACGACCTCCTATTGAGTTTTGAAGGCCCACAGCATCAATCTCTTGATTCTCTTGTTTACTTGTAACATCTTGCAACAGTTGTTGTTTTTTAAATTGACAACAATTTTTCATGGATGTTGCATTCTCCCTTCACTGCGCCACCGCAAAAAAATCCAATAGTGAACCCCCTGTTGTCACCCCATTTTTCGCACCCTTGAATTGGGCCCTTTCTATTTGGGATCATACGTTGAAGACATGGCACATTCTAAGAATCTGTTTTCATCGAAACAAAACCGTGGCCGTGCTAAACAAGAGGTCTTGGGGACACTGCCAACAGACATGTTTTTTTTGGTATCTGATATATTTTTTTCAATTTCCTTTGGAGACATGAGAATCTCATAGCTTGCAAATGCTGAGCATGTGGCCTTCCCAGAGAATGGGTTGCATCACATGGTGTGGAAGTATGTCACATCACCGAACAACGCTCCCTTGCGTCGATTTGGCATGTACTAACGGAAAGCATACAAGTGACACAGGCTTGGCATCATGATCGACTTGAGTACCGCAAGCCGACATCACCTTTGACTGAAAGGACTTCTTCCACTCAAATCTTGTTGAGACACGCAAGTACAGTGACATTTGAGGACATCAGTGTATAGCACACTGCAAACGATTCCAAAAAATATTATATAATACTAAAACAACGGTAAATTGTGGCAACTTGTTTTTCTATCTTTTGGGGGTTGCTTTAAAGAAATTGCAGCTCTGTATGTACACGATCTTCGACAACAAAGGCTTGGACCCAGCAGACCGTCCGCACTTCGCAGTTGCTCGGAGGTCCACTCATGGCAAGGCTATAGGGGTGGCTAACATATTGGAAGGCCCTAGCCATCACGATGTCAGTCAGGTTTGCAGAATTCGTTTTTGACCTATGATGGCCTGTGTTCCTTTACGACAGCCGTCAAAACATGCTCGTCTGGTAGTTGTGACCCTTTGCTTGCTGGCAAATCCTCATTACTGGGTCGGGTGAAGGGAAAATTGATAGAAAATTGTTGCTTTGACTCTGACCATGGATTTTGCCAATGCCAGGTCACTCGTAACTTGTTGGTCTTGTTGACTTGTTGAACCCAAGGCTTGCAAACGAACAATTTAACTACAGGTCAAGTGTGGCCCTCAGTTGTCCGTTTCTATTGCCATTTTGTGGGTTTCCAGCTTGGGTGGATGCAGCCATCCAGTGACGTACAGAATGGATGTTTGGTGATGGTTACTGCCCTCCCAGGCTCACATCTAGGTATTTCATTTTTTCTCCCTTTTTTTTGGACTTGCGCGCAGTACATGTCCAGAAAAGAGTCTTTGGCTCAACCGGGCGCCTCCAACACTGAGATGCTGTTGGTGTCTTTCGTCATTTGCCAATTTCTTTTCGCTCCTGCTGTTCGGGTTGCAAACATATCTGATTTGGATGAAAATGCGAATGGCTGCACCTTCACAGCAAGGCCGAACCTTGGATTGTTATCATTATAGAGTGATCTTGGGAGCATGCGACCTGAACACATTTTGACTGATTTTCTAGGAGGTTGTGACAGGTGCTGAGCTTTACAAATGCTGTGGCTCATGTTACTCACATCGAGCAAATCTGCAATCAGGAGCAATCCGGACGACTTCGATGTGAACTCATTGATCCTTGAAGGTCCCAAAGATTTGGACTTTACCTTCTTCGAGTCGCGGGAATTTTTCCTATCACCGGAGCGAAGCTGCGAACCTGACCTTAACATCCAACTGAGCAAAGTACCGAACTCGACAAAGGCCAAGCGCTTGCAGCAGGAGCAACGCTTTAAGGTTAAACAGATCATGGAGGGATTGAATCCGGCTTGACTTCCCAGCATTTTTTTCATGTTTTTGGGCTATCGAAAAACGCATTGAAAAGGCCGAAGGATTCGTTCTAGCCAAGCATATGCAGATCAACCTGTCTCACACATCCAGTCTCAAAGTTTGTCCTGCTTCTTTCAGCTTTAGTGTAGATTTCTTGCTGGACCCAGGAATGCAGCAAAAAAACAGCAGTTCGGCCATGCTGGCAAAGTCATCGAACAACTGCGTGGTTCTGCCCGCGAAGAGATTCCCGCGGTGGAGTTGCACATGTTTCCAGAACATCCATTGCAGCTCAATTCCACGTGGCGGGCTTTGATTGTGCCAAAATCTCAGCAGCTTTTTGGCGCAACGGTGTACCTCTGCCGGGCACAAAGCCAGAATCAGTGCGTGGCTAAACTGACCTTTGATTATCCACCCATTCGATTATTTCGGGCCTGGGATTGGGCCCTTGATCCTGTGAGGTCTATGCCACACGGATGGCTGCTGTGTTGGGAAATTTCTCTTGCCACTTCTGTTGTGCTGGCAGTCTGCCTTTGTCTTTATTTCCTGCAAAAGTTGGTCCAATCGTTCCGCCGTCCCGATGACACATTGGATGTGGAAGTTACTCACAGGCAGGTGCCCAGGTCCTACAAGCTGGCAAGCCACGCTGTTGTCTACAACGAGGTGGATGGAGCCTCTGTAGTTGAGGCGTTGGATGCATGTCAGGATGTGTATGTCGTCGAGGTGCAATACTCCAGCAACTTCACAGGTACTAGGCTGGAGCGTGCGGAGCGGCGCCTAAAGAGCATGTTCTCCTCAAAGAAGCACCAGACGCAGTGGGGCCGCTTGGAAAAGCCGCCAGGATCCAGTTGTGTTTGAAAGCAAGGGAGGGGCGTGTGCATTTCAGACATCTTGGAATGATTTTCCACCAGTTGAAAACAGGATTGTATTTTTAGATAGTGGAAAAACTTTTTATCACTACTAGGAAGGGTTGTACATTTGTTGAATGAATATATATATATATATATACATTGATAAACCCATTTGGAACTGATAAAGCCCCCTGACCCTCAGCTCCGTCTTCACCTCTTTGACAGGATGGATTGTCCTAAATGATGATGGTGCTTCCAAAGTGGTCTCCGAGGATGAGAAAGCACCTTACCGTGCCAATCAGCAACTGATGATTCCACTCGGGTCGCTTCTTCGCAGGAAACTCGTTCTTTCTGCAAGTCATGCCTCAGCACAGTGGTTTCTTCTCGAAAAGTTAGCTGGTCTCATTCATTTGCAGGCGGGATGAGGGTCGTCTCTTGGTACAGCAAACGGTAAAAGTAGCATTAGTACCCATCTGACCGCGTGACCAAGCTTGTGCACGGCTGGTAGGTCTTCGTCGTCATAGTACTAACCTTCTTCTCCATGCACTTGTTTGTGCTCTATGAACTTACCTCTGCAGTCCAGTGGGGCGTTTATTGTGATGAAGTTCTGGAAAGAGAACGGCAGCGCTTGCGACCGCACGAGAGTCACTGTGCCCAGAACTTTGCTCTGATTTTGGCCGTGCTGGCAATTTTGTTCCTGTTTGGCCTTTTAAGCTTGGACCACATCTCAGACTTGCCATTGGCAGTGTCCTCCCTAGCTGTACCCCTCACGGCGGTCCTGGTGCATTCCCTGGAAATCAAAGCCCGTGTGGAGGGCCACAGCAAGTGGAGGCAGCCACAGCTGACCAGTGAATTCACGGAGTATCCAAAAGAGAGACTGCCGACCAAAATGTTTGATGGAGCTGTGGATTTGAGCAAGAAGAGAGAATCATGAATGCATTTGAGTACGTTAAGGTGGCAAAGACAATATAAGACACACGGAACAGATTCACTTTCTGGGGTCATACCATTTTACTTACATACATACATACATACATTCATACATTCATACATTCATACATTCATTCATTCATTCATTCATTCATCCATCCATTCATCCATCCATTCCATCCATTCCATTCATTCCATTCATTCCCTTCATTCCATTCATTCCATTCATTCCATTCATTCCATTCATTCCATTCATTCCATTCATTCCATTCATTCCATTCATTCCATTCATTCCATTCATTCCATTCATTCCATTCATTCCATTCATTCCATCTTTCCATTCATTCCATTCATTCCATTCATTCCATTCATTCCATTCATTCCATTCATTCCATTCATTCCATTCATTCCATTCATTCCATTCATTCCATTCATTCCATTCACTCCATTCATTCCATTCATTCCATTCACTCCATTCATTCCATTCATTCCATTCATTCCATTCATTCCATTCATTCCATTCATTCCATTCATTCCATTCATTCCATTCATTCCATTCATTCCATTCATTCCATTCATTCCATTCATTCCATTCATTCCAGTTATTCCAGTCATTCCACTCATTCCACTCATTCCATTCATTCCATTCATTCCATTCATTCCATTCATTCCATTCATTGCATTCATTCCATTCATTGCATTCATTGCATTCATTGCATTCATTGCATTCATTGCATTCATTAGCATCATTAGATTCATTAGATTCATTAGATTCATTAGATTCATTAGATTCATTAGATTCATTACATTCATTACATTCATTACATTGATTACATTGATTACATTGATTACACTGAGTACATTGATTACATTGATTACATTGATTACATTGATTACATTGATTACATTGATTACATTGATTACATTGATTACATTGATTACATCCATCCATCCATACATACAGATACAGATACAGATACAGATACAGATACAGATACAGATACAGATACAGATACAGATACATACATACATACATACATACATACATACATACATACATACATACATACATACATACATACATACATACATACATACATACATGTATATACACATATACATACATGTTACATTATGTATATACATACATTATATATACACACATACATACTTAATATGTATATATATATATATACATACATAAATATACATATGTATATATAGACATACACATATATATATATACGTTTCGCATGCAAAAGGGTTAAACTGCGAAAATTCAGTGCAGCTACAACTTGGGGTGCCTCTTTTTTGTCAATTTCCAAACAACTGACCGAAGACTGAAAGAAAACATTGACTTCAACAGTCGACCAATGTCGACCATTTGAAGAGGAAACCTAACAGTCCGAGGACAATGAAGTCAAAGATAATCAGATAGTTAAGACCAGAAAACTGATATTTTACGAAGCATTGACATCCTAGCATCGACACCCCAGGAATAGAGTCAAGGGCTGACGGAGGGACATTGGACTTTCTTTCTTTGTTTTCACGCTCAGATCGTTCTAAGTTGGCCATGCCCCAAAGTGAATTAGAGGTGTAGAGTCCATCCAGGCGAAGATGCAAAATTGAACTTTGTCAAGGAGACGCAGAGGAATTTCAAAGTGCTTTTTCCCCAGAATATGTGTTGACAGTTTGCCTTCAATCTCTTCACTCTCTTTCTGGGTGTGCTTCGGGTGTGGCTTTGCGGTTGTGGTTGGGTTCCTGGGAATCTGGTGTGGTTTCCTCTCCTCGGGACACGTTTGGGATCATTTCTGGTTTTGCTTCCAGTGACATGACAGCTTGTCGTGCACTGTACCTGGTGTTTGCAATGTTTCGTTGCGCCGAAGGCCATTGCCTTGAAATAATCTAGACAGTTGGTTTATAGAAACGAAATGCCGTTGGGGATACCGCTTTTGGTTATTCTAAGGAAGTGTATATGATGTATACGATATAAAATAATCTGAACTATAGTACAATGCAATTGATAATCTAAGACAACACATCTTAATGTGATATAGTGTCGTGTAATATGATATATCAGAAATATAGTCTAGTATAATAGAAGACACAATGATGATATAACACAATATGATATGATATGATACAATATGATATATACATACAATGTAATTTAAAGTAGTAGAAACTAATATAGCATCATTTGATATACAATCTACAATATAACACAACATAGCATAGTATGCCATACGATAAAATGATATAATACAGTACAGTGTAATGTAATGTAATGCAATGAAATGTAATGCAATATAATGTCATGTGATATAATATGATATAACATTATTTGATATAACATAAAATGACATACTGTTGGTATATACAGCTTATACATGCCATCACCATGTACATAAATGCATGACCTTGACATGCTACACGACTGTGTAGCCCCTTTTTGCGTCGAGTGCCAAAACAGGGAAGGTAGGGCGCTCGTGTTGTTGCATGGTAGCGGAGCTACCTGGTTACGACCAGAGCTCCTAGCCAGCTGCGGTTGGACCCGCGCTGGTGCCAGTTGCGGTTGGACCCGCACTGGTGGTTGGCAGCGGGTGGAACCGCGCCGACCGGTGGCTGCCGGTAGCACCGGGCCACCACGGCTCCTAAGAAGGAGAGGGTCGAGTTCAAGAAGGCAGTGGGAAAGTATATGCCAAAAGGCAGTGTTGGGAATCAGATCAAAGCCAAGCTTCCTCCTGAGTGTTCCAGTTGCGACGAGCGCACCAAAAGGAACCGACCACCAGCTGCTGAGTTTGCAGCTAAGAGGATTCAAACCAGGAGATCTAGAAGGCTCCAACTGATCCATCAAATGGCAAACACCGCCAAGCCATTTCCAAAACTTCCTGAACGGGGGGAGGACGAAGAGGAGACACCAGACGATCCAGTACACGATCGAGATCCAGATGGCGGAGATGGAAGCGAACCAGACTGGTCAGGTGATGAGTCAGGAGCAAATGCTCCAATTGTTGCAGCAGCAGCATGCTGAGATGATGAATTTGAGGGCCAGAGTCGAACAACAAGAGGCCCAAAATCAACAGAATAGAGCACAGTTGATGGCAGCTCAAGAAGTAGCTTGCCAAAGAGCAGTTTCAATCACCTCAATTCCTGACGCTTCTGCTTTGGTGCAGCAAAACAGCTTCGACACGCGGACTTTGGGGAAACCCGAGCCATTCAAAGGTACTGCTGAAGAATTTCCTGATTGGGTATTTATCTTCAAAGCCTACGTGGGTTGAATAAACCCCAATTCACCACACTTTTGGAGCGCGCAGAAGGTACAGGCACCCCATTAGTGAACAGGTCGTTGACAACCCAGGAAGAACAATTATCAGATCAGCTGTACTTTGTTTTGGTATGCTACTAAGAGGTCGTGCCCTCGATGTGGCATACAACATAGGCAGTGGTGAAGGTCTGGAAACGTATAGAAAGTTGTATGAAACCTTTCACCCACGTGTAGCATCAAGATTAGTAGGTTCACTCTCATTGATCCTCAATACAATATTCAGTGGTAGTGATTTGGAAGCTGAATTGGAAACCTTTGATAAGACTGTTCGAAGGTATGAAAATGAAAGTGGAGAACGTTTGGATGATGAGTTGCTTTTGGGTATCGTTGTCAATGGTCTTCAAGATAACGGTACCAGAGATCATGTCATCAGAAACGCAACAAGATTGCGTACGTATCAAGATGTTCGAACAGAACTGTTGGAGATTTCAAGAACCAACAGGGTTATTTCACAGTTGCCCACACCAATGGATATTGGAGCCGTTCCATTGACAAAGGGTGGAAAGAAAGGCAAAGGAAAAGATAAGTCTTCTGGCAAGGGTCAGGGTGGCAAGACCGGCAAGGGGAAAGATCAGAAAGATTCCAAAGGAAAAGGGTCATCAAGTTCAAACCCCAATGCCAATAAGGAATGCCACTATTGCCATAAACTGGGCCACTTAAAGGCAGATTGCCGAAAGAAACAGGCCGATGATAAGGCCAGGAATCAAAAGGGAGGTTCAGGGAAAGGTAGCGGTAAGCCCCGCACTCAAGCTGCAGCCCCTGAAGCAGCTGAACCTGAGCCCATGACCGCCATGCCGCAAGGTATCTACGATGGCGAGTGCAGTCTCATTGCATCTTTGGTTGCAAGGCAGGACATTCTGGTGGACACAAGGGCAGGGTCGAACTTGTTTGTAAAGAATTTTCACCCATGTGCTGTAGAAGCTTCATTGAGACCAGTGCTGGTAGATTTGCAGTTGAATACTGTATTCTGAAAGTGAACGCGTTGGATTCAATGTGATGTCAGCAGGACAAGCTGCAAGCAAGGGCACATGGACAATTATAGGTCCCGGTGTCCAATGCATCATGCAAGATCAGCATGCAGCCTCAGTCCGTGAAGCCCTGACGAATTCCAACGTCATTCCGCTGAAGAAAAGTAATGGAGTGTATTGGCTGCCAGCCAAGATTTGTCCAGGGGGTAGCCCCGCGGCAAATACCATGGGTTCAGCGGGTGGCCCCGCGACCATGACAGCAGTGAAGGCAGTCAAGAATGCAGTTCCAGTTGATGATGAAATGGAACTAGATCCAGCTGAGGAGACAGAGCCAACAAACCTACCTTCATCAAGCTTAGGTCCAGAGCTACCAGCATTGGGAGATCCACCATTGGAAGAATCAGAAGTTGAAAGACAACCGGTTCGAAAACGAATCCCAGAAACAGTAAGTGCTGAAGAAGACAACCAGCACATGCTCACACACATTCCATACAGGAGTTGGTGTGACCATTGTGTGAGTGGCAAGGCGAGGGAGGACCCTCACAAAAGACGTGAACCATTGGACAAGCAGGCCATTCCAAGGATGAGCCTTGACTACTGTTTCTTGGGTAGAATGTTGGCCTCAGCAGGAGCCAGACCCGTAGCAGATTCAAGTGCAGAGCCATCTGCAGAAACTTTGAGGACACCGCAAGATGAGGATGATGGAACAGTCCCTATCCTTATCATCCACGATGAGCGAAGTGGTGTGGTGTTTGCAGGAGTGACGAGAAAAGGGGTTGATGCCTACAGCATAAACCTAGTGACAGAAGCTCTCAAGTTCTGTGGGAGGACCAAGACCATCAGGTCCCTGGCTGAGGCAGCAGCAAAAGAATGGAGTCATGAAGTCCAAATCATGACAACTCCAAGAGAGTCTCACGCTTCCAACGGCTTAGCTGAAGGAGCCATTTTGGAAGTATCACGCCAGACCAGAACATTGGTCAATGCAGTTGAGCTGAGGTATCCAAATACCAAGATCACAGTGATGAGCCAGCTCTATACTTGGATCGTTCGACACGCGGCGTGGTTGATCTCAAGGTATCTGGTGAAATCAGATGGAAAGACCCCGTATGAAAGACTTCGGGGCAGAGAGTTCAAAGGCCAGATAGTGGAACCGCTCGAAGTGGTACACTACAAGCTGGAAAAGACCAAGACTGGCAAACTGGACGCACAAACAGCTGTTGGAGTTTGGATCGGGAAATCTCTGAATTCCGATGAGCATTATGTCGGAACTGCCGAAGGCATTCGGAGATGTAGATCCACCTTCCGACGTCCCGAGAAGAAACGATGGGATGAAAAGATCCTTCAAGCAATGAAGGGAGTGCCTTGGCAACCAAGAGGCACAGGAACTGTTGTTCCAGGTGCACCTGTTCCCGGGCAGGGTGTTGCAGCTCCAGGAACACCAGGAGTTGTGGAAGATACAAAGGGCAAACGCTCAGTGTACATCACCTTGGACCGGAGAAGGTTCCGACGAAGGCTTTGGTGCAGAGCCAGGTCGGGCTCAACAGGATTCAAGAGAAGGTTCCGGAGAAGGTTCCAAGAAGCCTTAGTGCAAAGCCAAGTCAGGTTCAACGGGGTTCCGGGGAAGGTTCCGGAGAAGGTCTGGGAGGCTTTGGTGCAGAGCGAGGTCAGGTTGAACAGGGTTCCGGAGAAGGTTGTTGAGAAGGTGTGGAAGGCTTTGGTGCAGAGCTAGATTAGGTTCAACAGGGTTGCGGAGAAGGTTCCCGAGAAGGTTGTTGAGAAGGTTTCGGGGGGCTTTGGTGCAGAGCCAGGTCAGGGCGCCGCCCTGCCTTGGCTAAGGCAGGGTCGGTGCATATCATATGATATCATGTGGTATATATATATATATATTTTTTTGATATGATATGATCTGATATGATTTAATGCATGGCAATTTCAATTTAGCAGCTGCAAATTTGCCTCAGATTTCTCAGGAAATGCACTACATTTTGGCAGTTTTCCTGTCATTGGTGGTTGCTGCGGTGGGTCTCTGCATTCTGATCTGGATGAGCTTCGATGCTTTACAGATGCAAGGCAGATGAACACCGGTTTTCGGTGAAAGATTCCATCCAAGGGAACACAGGTTTGTTCATGGCTGCTCAGGAGCTGTTCATGGAGCGGATGACTGGTGAGAGGTTGCAAGTGCAACCTGCGCCTATGCAACAAAACTAACCTAGTACTGTAGAACAACAGCCAACTCAAAACTTTGCGGTTCATGTTTAATTTGGGAGAGGCAATAAGAACCCAGGCATGACGAAGAGGCAGAAACTAAAACTGTGGGCACTTGGTGGGCACTTAAGCAGCGTGTAGGTTGCGGCGCAAGCATTCGCCTTCCAATCAGACTTGTAGATCACAGCTCACATCGGTATGGGTTGGCTTTCAACCTTGTAAACTCGCTATAGACTCTGTCAGCCGATAAGGGACCCAGTGGGTCTCACCAAACATATGTTTCGAAAAACTGAAAACCACATTTGTTTACAACAACATGGACTTGAGACTGTGATGTTTGAAACATCACATCTTTTGAACCTCGTCTTAAGTGTTACGTCAGGGTTTGTGGCCACATACCAACGTTTGCAGGCACGTTAGTGGAGTATTCCTTCAGCGATGGCCATTTGGTCTACCTTTCACAGGGGACTGCTCGACAGAATACCCTCCTTTTGCACGAGTCCACAGATTCGGTCGACTTCGTTTTTGAGAAAGGAACCCATACCAAGAACGCTGCTGGTTTCTCTTTTGAGATACTTTTTCCCTTTTCCACCCCTTTCCATTTTTTCCATCCTTCTTTTTATTATTGTTCCTTTGGACAAATATTTCAGTTGGGTTGAAACAACCAACGAGGTGACTTTGAAGTTGGAGCATTTGCAATTGGAGAATCGCACTTTGAGCATTCCCTTACTTCCCAGTGGTGAAGATGCGCAACCAGTGCTTAAATATCAGCTCAGCTTGCCGCAAGGCCCGCTGTACAGCCGGGTCACGGTTGAAGCTGAAAGCACGCTCAGGATCAAACCCACAAAGTGCCTTGGAGCCAGTTATTGGCTGTTATGAAGGGCTTTGGTGGAACACGCTGTGTTCCCAAGGTGGCAATCCATGCACTTCCAGAGTTTGTGAAGCAGTAGACGGGTCGAGTTGATCCCTGAAATACAGTAGCCTTTTAGGAGTTGATTAGGTTGCCACCTACCAAAACCTAATTAAAGAATAGGAAACTGAGGCCCAGACAATTTCTCTTTGGGTCATTGGCTTGCTGCCATATTGACTCGGATTTAGGTACACATTCCATTTGGTGCGTGTGGGCGAAGCCATTGAGCTTTCATTGGCTGGTGAGGCTGCGGATCCGGATGGCATCAACCGCGTTCCTTTCGCTGAGAACAGACGATGGCAATACCAAACGAGGACTTTCATCTGCATCTAACCTGTGTTCCTGGAAGTCCAGCCAAACTAGAGCAGAATAGTTTTTAGGGTTGTAGGGCATGCATCCAGGCTTTGCGCTGTTTTTCTATTCGCGATCAAGATTCACTGGACTAGGAAGCTCACCCGTTGACCACTTGCTTTTTGCGAATCATGCGCAACTGATGTACTTAATTGCGAATAAGAACATTCGAATCATCAATATGTATGACAATATGCACTGAAGCCATTTTATGTTTGTTTCTAGAAACATCATTGTCATCACAAACATGATTTTTGACTCAATCCTCAGCTTCCCCAGACTCATGAACGCTTGTACTTTCTGTAAGCTGTAGCTGTTGCAAGGAACGCAAAGTGGTACGTTCCCAATCTTTCGGGTGATTCCACGCTCCAAGTGAAACTTCTCGCCATCTCCTTTGCTCCACTGCTCCAAGTCTCTGAAGAAGACAAACGTTCAAATGTCTTCAGCGGAAGGCGAGGCTTCGATGTGAAGCAAGCATGCCCCCAGAACGGTTGAGATGTTGAAGCCATGTTTTTTTTTGACGTTTTTTTTCCATTTCATTTTTTTGACTTCTGGTTCCCAGTTTCTCTGCTTTGCAGCTTTCCCCTGCTTCTTTGCTTCTCTGCTTCTCTGATTTTCTGCTTTTTTCTGCTTTTCTCTGCTTTTCTCTGCTTTTCTCTGCTTTTCTGCTTTTCCAGCTTCTGTGCTTTCTGCTTTTCGCCGCTTTCCGCTGCTTTTCTGCTTGCCTGCTTCTCTGTTTTTCCTTGCTTTCCCCTGATTTTCCCTGCTTTTCTTTTGTTTCTCATATTGTAAATGAACCCAATATAAGAAACATCACATAATGCATAAACCCCAAAACAGGCCTAAATCAACCCCAAATAAAACCCCAAACAAACCAAAAACACTAAAGCAAGTCTAAATTAAATAAACGCTCACCATTCCCTAACTATATAAATCTGAAACCAATCCAAAAGAAACCCTAAACCCCCTCTCAATAGACCCTAAACCACCCCAAATATATGTTAAGCCAAGCCTAAGCAAATCTCACACCAACCCTAAATAGACCTGAAACCAGGCCTACATAGATCCTAAACCAACGCTAAACAAACTTCAAATGAATCCTGAATAGGTCCTACACCAACTCTAAACAGATCCCAAACAAAACCTAAAACCAACCCTAAATAGATCCTAAACCAACCCCAAATAGATGTTAAAGTAATCCTAAAGAAAACTTACACCAACCCTAAATAGATCTTAAACAAGGCTTAAATAGCTTCTAAGCCAACCCAAAACAACGATTAAACCAACCCTACATAGGTCCTAAACCAACTCTAGAAAGATCCTGAACCAAGCCTAAATAAACCCCCAAAACCAACCCTAAAAAGATCTTAAACCAACTCTACATAGATCCTTTAAAAAGCATCTAGCTCCAAAACCAACACTTAAAACTAAAACCAACCCTAACTGAAACCCTAAACAACCCCCAAAGCCAACCCTAAATGAACCATAGTTGTGCTGCAAATTCTATGGAACATGAAAGGTTCGAATTCAGACATGTTGCAAATATCGTTGACATGGCACCTTCCAGCTCCAAAATGCTGCAAATAGGAAGGAGAATGGACAGAACAGGATACTATCCAAAAAACGAAAACAGAAAAACATATATCTCCAAACAAGTCCAGACGCCATGGAATTTGGAGCTGCAAAGAAGGAGTCTTGCCAGTCAGATGGTGTTTTCCTTTAACAGATGTTTTTTCATTGTTTCCCAAAAAGTCGCTTGACTAGGCCTCAGTTGCCACACTACGGAAACAAGTGCCTTTGCGGAGAAGAAGAAGCTGGCTTTGGAAACGGCTGCTTGATGGAAGAAACCATTCCCCTCGGCGCAGCCAGTTCGCTTGTGTCCTCCACCGTGTGTCTCTTCCTTCAAAGTGCTAAGGACAGAAGTCTTCATGTCTGTTTTTCTCGTGAGGTTGAATCTGAAGTCATCGAATGTTGATCATTTCATATGATTTCTAGTTAGGCATACCATGCAATTTTGGAGTCTCAGTTTTGAGAAACACCAAAATTTTTAGAATTCTATTTGGATTTTACACCATTCTTTCTCGGCATAGGTGGCTTTCACAAAATCCCAAAAACAGATGTGCAACTGAGAGAAATCCGATCAGGACGACATTCAGCTTCAGGATAGGACAGGCAGCGTGTCTGGTGGTCGAGGCCTGGTTCAATGGTTGCAGGATGTGACCATCAGTGGCAAGCGCGCACGGCTCCGTATGGATGGAGCTGTGGCCAGTGGATGGAGCCTTGAAAAAGTGGAGCAATTTGCAGAGCTGTGGGTCCAAAATGTCAGCAAGGCCAGTGAGTTTCGCATCAGCAGCTGAGTGTTTTCAGTGGGTTTTTGATGTATTTTCTGTTGGCCCATTTTGGAATTTAGGATGGCAATTGCCACCTGTAATAAGAAGTGCGAAGTGTATGTTTTTTTCACGCTGTATCTGCAAAGCAGGTAATGTCTTTGCGAAGACGATGCCTTCCACTCTTCTGATGCGTGGCAATCAACTTGTGATCGGTACCACCCAGGATGAAACAAATATTGAAAATGAGGCCCTGCCCTTCAGGGTTGTACCGCATGCACCACCTGTTGTGCTCAACACAACTCCACCTGGATTCTTGCTGCCGCACTTTGACTTCAACAACAAGCAGTACGCGCTGTGTGCTGCTAGCAAGATCGACCAGCTGAATGCTTCAGTTCCGGACGCGCGATTCCATGTGGTGCCACATGCCGTGGAACTGGGGCGAGATTGCCTCCATCATCCAATCATGCAGAAGAGTTTCCGAGCAGAGCGCACAAACAGCTGCAAATATTGCAGCCGGTACATCGTGGCTGACCAGTATGATGTACGAGCCACACTTTCACCAGAGGCGTGCATTCTTGAAGCCATTGACCTCAATGATCCAGTAGCCTTGAAGAAGATCATGTCTGATTTTAGTTCGGCCTTTCTGCGAGCCAAGGGAAAAACATGCAATGTCCTGCAAAAGGTCATCCGTTTGGAACGCTGGGAGCTGCTGCCGGATGTGGCAAAGCATTTTGATGTAGACTGCCATGGCTGTAAAGAGACACCTCTAGGAGTGGCTGCAGCGGAAGGTAGAGTAGAGGCGTTGAAATGGCTGTTGGCCAAGGACCAGAGGGAGGGGGAATCATTCAGTCTTTCACAAGAACATTCCTCACACTCATACACGGCAATCTGAAGGACGTGGGAGCCAACGCCGATACCGTGGATAAGAACGGCTTCACAGCTTTGGCCCGGGCTGTTCAGCACTGCCAGTTGGATGCTGCAAGCTTTCTAATCCAGGAGGGCAGTGATGTGAACCACCTGATGCCTCCGTTTCCCGGCGCCCAGCTCCTTGAAGAGTGAAAATCAGCTCCTTTTTTTACAATGCTCCTCTTTTGTTCAGCATGATTTTCTGGAACACGTGCATTTCAGATGTCGAGGACTTATTGGTGATCTGATTCAGTTCTCTGAGGTGTCCAGTCACACCTTTACTGTCAGTCTTTGGCCGCTTTGGTGTACGGGACGATCTGCAAGGACAAGGCGCGTGCCATGCCCAGGACAGGGACAGCACGAAGAAAGATCATGTTGCCAGCATGATTTTGCTCCTGAAACGTTCTGGAGCCAACTTTTCCGTGGAAGACCCTCAGCAACCAACGGTTTTTCAATTGCTTTTCGATGGTGTTTGGTGGCCGCCTTTGAAACCTCTTACAGTATGGATTCGACCTCTCCAATATATTGAAAGATACTGTGTCACCTTGGTGTAGTTGGCATTCTAAGGGGCGGAAAGACTGCTTGAAAAGGACTGCATTAATGGAGGCCAGCATTTGAAACTGTTTGGATACAAAATAGATTTGTCACAGAAACAAACAGGATGTCTTTCATGTCGAGGGAGACTGTGCTTTCAAGGCGAGTACATTTCGTCTCCTTACGAAACGCATGATTTTGGACCACACATATCCACACATGAGATTGTTAAACGCTGGTTCACATAATTTCTTGTCTGTTGAGTCGTGATGCACCAGGCCATCAACAGCAAAAGTCTCCCAGAAGTTGAACTAATGCTACAAATGAAAGCCGATCCCAACGAGGAAGGCCGGTGGGGTTGACATAGCTTGAACTGTTTTGCTTGGGGTGTAGGCTTCGCGTACGTTTAGGTACATCTAGGTTGGGTGATGTCCCGCTTTGCATTTTCCACTCGCTTGGTTGCGAGGGTTGCAAGCCTCCATGTACAGGTCATACTCTCTTGGTGAGGTCATGAGCTGTTGAGTCATGAGAGTCAACATCGGTCTCGAAGCTGAAGGGCTCCATACAAATCCTGGAGCATGGATTAAACTCCGCCTCAGCAACTACGCTTCAGCAACCAAAACTCACCCCCTCTGGCAAGTACATGCACAGTCACATCTTACACGTCATATGAAAATCCCACCCCCTCTGGCAAGTACATGCACAGTCACATCTTACACGTCATATGAAAATCCCACCCCCTCTGGCAAGTACATGCAAAGTCACATCTTACACGTCACATGAAAATCCCACCCCCTCTGGCAAGTACATGCACAGTCACATCTTACACGTCATATGAAAATCCCACCCCCTCTGGCAAGTACATGCACAGTCACATCTTACACGTCATATGAAAATCCCACCCCCTCTGGCAAGTACATGCACAGTCACATCTTTCACGTCACATGAAAATCCCACCCCCTCTGGCAAGCACATGCACAGTCACATCTTACACGTCATATGAACATCACACCCCCTCTGGCAAGTACATGCAAAGTCACATCTTACACGTCCTATGAAAATCCCACCCCCTCTAGCAAGTACATGCACAGTCACATCTTGCACGTCATATCAAAATCCCACCGCCTCTGGCAAGTACATTCAAAGTCATATCTTACACGTCATATCAAAATCCCACCCCCTCTGGGAGGTACATGGACAGTTACTTGCCAGGGGGGATGGGATTTTGATATGACGTGTAAGATGTGAGTGCCACCCCCTCTGGCAAGTACATGCAAAGTCACATCTTACACGTCACATGAAAATCCCACCCCCTCTGGCAAGTACATGCACAGTCACATCTTACACGTCATATGAAAATCCCACCCCCTCTGGCAAGTACATGCACAGTCACATCTTACACGTCATATGAAAATCCCACCCCCTCTAGCAAGTACATGCACAGTCACATCTTACACGTCATATGAAAATCCCACCCCCTCTGGCATGTACATGAAAAACCCACCCCCTCTGGCAAGTACATGCACAGTCACATCTTACACGTCATATGAAAATCCCACCCCCTCTGACAAGTACATGCCAAGTCACATCTTACATGTCATATGAAAATCCCACCCCCTCTGGCAAGTACATGCACAGTCACATCTTACACGTCATATCAAAATCCCACCCCGTCTGGCAAGTAAATGCAAAGTCACATCTTACACGTGATACGAAAATCCCACCCCCTCTGGGAGGTACATGCACAGTCACATCTTACACGTCATATCAAAATCCCAACCCCCTCTGGCAAGTACATGCAAAGTCACATCTTACACGTCATATGAAAATCCCACCCCCTCTGGCAAGTACATGCAAAGTCACATCTTACACGTCATATGAAAATCCCACCCCCTCTGGCAAGTACATGCACAGTCACATCTTACACGTCATATGAAAATTCCAACCCCTCTGGCAATACATGCACAGTCACATCTTACACGTCATCTCGCATTTTATGCACAGTCACATCTTACACGTCATATGAAAATCCCACCGCCTCTGGCAAGTACATTCAAAGTCACATCTAAAAAAAAGAAGTCACATCTTACATTTTGTTTTTGAATCATAGTTTACGGAGCATACAGTACGGATCTTGGTTTACGAAGCATTGTTTACGAGTCATAGTTTCCGAGTCATGGTTGACGAAGCATAGTTTACGAATCATAGTTTCCGAGTCATGGTTTACTAATCATAGTTTACGAGTCATGGTTTACCGAAGCAGAAGTCAACCCTGGAGCATGCCATAATGCCATGTGTCAAAATGCTGAGGCAATTATACGTATAATAATTCTTTTCGATGGACGCCGACACACGTTCAACAGTCGTTGCTTTGTCAACAGTGACGGATAGGCGAGTCACTTGGGAACCCTGAGGTGACGCCGAGACAGGCCAAGAGGAGCGTCCACTGATGGCTCTCGTTGACCAGTGCTTTGTCTTCGTGAATCATGGAAAAAGAAGTGAATATGATCTGTCACCATTTGCAGTAATACCAGTACCATGTACTGCCAGAACACAAGTCTATATTATATGGGGCATGGCAGGAAATGGTATGCGAAGGTATGGTACACTATGTAATTGTACGGTACAGTATGGTACGAGAGGTGTTATAAAGATACAAAGGAGAAGTGCTGTAGCGAAAGAAGTGCTGTAACGAAAGGCAAGGTGCTGTTCTGGGAGGAGAGGTGGTGTTACAGAAGGAGGGATGCTGCTACGAAAGGTGAAGTATTGTTAAAGGTGAAGTATTGTTACGAAAGGAGAGGTGTGGTAACAAAATGAGAAGTCCAGGTGCTTTTTTCGAAAGGTGTTGTAGTGAAAGTGGAAATCCAATGCGACCTTTGCATTACATGAAAGTTGATATTGACGGGAAGCTTCCGGAGAAGCAAGGTTGCAAGGTGCGAGTACCGAAATGGAGAAACACATGCACATTTCCCCTGCAAACGAAATGCCCAGAAAAACCAGGAAGAGGCCTGTGCTTTCGCGCATGCAAGGGCAGCCCCAAAAAGGTGTATACAAAAAAGTGTATACAGCGCGCGCACACGTAGACCTTGTTTGCCCGTGCCGCTTGGATGTTTTCGCGTAATACCAGTTCAGATTTTCTACAAACTAAATACGAAACCCGCAGGTTTGCCAGGGAGCCGTCGTAATGTGTCGTGACTGCGCTGTCAGTCGCTATGTGTCATCAGGCTCAGCAGTGGGTACAGGGTTCCAATGCGGCATCGGCGTCGGGTGAAATGTAGCACTCCCGTATGCGGGATGCCCTTCCACTTTCTGGCCTCGTTCCTTTTAGATAGCGTTCTGGCAACATCATCAACAGTCCTGCCAAGTTGACCCAGGTTTCTCTCGCACAAGAGTATTGATTGGGAAAGCTTCGTCCAGTACGCTGCGGTCCTTCTGCAACATGGAGCAGATGTGAATTATGCCTCCGGCAGTTACGCAAAGACCGCCTTAATGAAGGACTGACCCGGGGTGCCAGGAATCATATTCAGCATGGGCGAAACTTGAGTGTGGCAGATGTGAAATGATCCTGCAGTCAGTTGATGGCATGATGGCCGTCCTGGATTTTTATACATTAAGAACACCCCAAGACTGGAGAATCTGGAGGGTTGCCCTTTGGTGGTGTTTTTTCCCCAGATAGCTGGCAAGCTATACGGGTTCTTACTTCTCAAAGGTGGGGTCTTCGGTGGCGAACTTTTGAGCCTGCGTGCTGACCAGACTGCGGTGGCAAAGGTGCTGTGCAGGGTGCTGTGCAGGGTGCTGTCCAGACTGCGGTGGCGAAGTCTGGCAAAGGTGCTGTGCAGGGTGCTGTGCAGGGTGGTGCAGGGTGCTGTCCAGACTGCGGTGGCGAAGTCTGGCAAAGGTGCTGTGCAGGGTGCTCTGCAGGGTGTTGTCCAGA